GAAAACGCCGCCGCTTCACCCTTTTATAGACAGAACGGCGATTGTCCACGGAGCGCTTTGATTGGCTCAAGCAAATTTTGTCCCGATAGCCAATAGGATAGCTCAGCCAGAATCCACTCATTTACATAATCTCGTCTCCCTCGCATTGGGCGCCGCGAAAAACTCGCGAACCACAACGCAGCGTCATGCGCACGGCCTCTCTAGGTGCACAGTCGTTTCCGGTAGACCCCGAGACCAACGTTCTGCCTGCGTTCTCGGCGGGTGAGAGTCGGTCTTGGGTCTGGCCGTGCCTGAACCTGCAAAGTCCGCGCCGGCTCCCAGGAAGGGCGCCAAGAAAGCCGTCACCAAAGCCCAGAAGAAAGACGGCAAGAAGCGCAAGCGCAGCCGCAAGGAGAGCTACTCCATCTGCATGTACAAGGTGCTGAAGCAGGTCCACCCCGACACCGGCATCTCATCCGACGCCATGGGCATCATGAACTCCTTCGCCAACGACATCTTCGAGCGCATCGCGGGAGAGGCGTCCCGCCTGGCGCACTACAACAAGCGCTCCACCATCACGTCCCGCGAGAGCCAGACGGCCCTGCGCCTGCTGAGGGAATAAATAGTTCAACTTTTATATATGGTATCGAGAAATTTCTTGAGGTTTTTATATCGTTGGTTCACAAACACGTGCCTACACCGTTGATGTGAAAATTTCTTAAGCAGGTAGATGGAAGTTTGATTTTGATAACCAGGAATTCACACCGTTAACACCATCTGTGCTTCCTACTTGAGATACCCTGAAATCTACCCAATACCATTAAATAGTGACTTTTCCCCTAAAAATTATCATTTGGAAAAGCTTGTCCAGTTTAATGATTAGTTCCATACAATGGCAACAAAATATATATGATTTCTGAAGCCAGAGTTTGGGATTCCTGAAGAACAGAAGGACCACCAATTTGCCAGAGAAGTTGATTAGGTTCTCTGCTTTTGGAACACTGGATTTGGAATCACACAGCCTCATTAACCTTAAAAGATTATACTGATGGCTTTGGGGAATCATAAATCCTAGGCTGGCCACAATAGAAGCAAGGAAAGCAATTAGGAGGCTGTTGCAGTTTTGTGGTCTGGAGCAGTGATTAAGTCTTAAAGTCTTTCCAGACCAGCAGCATCTGTATTAGTTGAAGTTATTAAAAATGAAAATTCCCAGGTTCCATTATTTGTGTTAACAAGCTTTCTGGGTGATGCTGATGCATGCTAAAGTGTGAAAAACACCAGATAAATAACATGTTGGAGTGCAGTGGTGGTAATGGAAACAGAAATGTTGGATTTTATCTTTGACGTAGAATAGATGTGGCTGAGGAACAGGATTTAGGTAACAGTGAAACCCCTAGATTTTTGGCTTGAGCAACTGTGTAGATCGTGGTACTATTAGGATAGAACACTGGGAGAAGATACTTGTTGGGACACTGAAGGGAGATCCAGAGTTCCGCTTGAAATTTGAGAAGCTCTTTGCTATTCAAGTGGATATGTGCAGCTGACAGTTGGAGAGATGGATCTAGAGTTCAGTAAAGACAACACAAGCCTGTCTTTAAGATCTACCTGTGAACTGTGAACACAGCAATGGGAATGATGGAGATCACCTTAAAGTATTTTTCTAGACTTTATTACTCATGTGTTTGTCATGAGGTATAACTGAGTAGTTCATAGTCCTATAATGTATGTTACTGACTAGGTAGTATTTGTTTTTATAATTCTGTTTCTGTTACAGTGCTGCCACATGTGTTTCCCAGAAACGCATTTTGCCCACAGTTCTTAGGGTTGGCCTGATTTGTTTGTTGTCTCAACCTGCTTCTTACTGTGATTAGTTCAGGAATCTAGATCAAACTAATTGGCATTTAACATTTCAGGAAGTGAACTGAGTTAACAACTGACTAACTCAGCAGGGGAGTGTAGCATGCTATTATCTTTTGGGAAAGCAGCTTATTTGCTTTCAAGAGGCAGCAGCAGGATGGACTGTCTTTAGGTGTGAAGGCAAGAATGATTATAGACAAAATGCAGAGGAGGGCACAGTGTGGGAGAATCAGAGAACTGAGCCACTCATGGAGTTCAGCCAACCTTGGATCCCTGCTGTACCTTTGGACTTCCAATTAAGCCAATTTGTCTGACATATTTGTTTATACCAGTTTGACTCTTGAAATATTTCAGGAATAATAAATAATTTCCTAGATACAAGGAAAGATCTTCGTGAAAGGTCTCAAAGAAGTCAAATGGGGTCTATTAGGACAGAGTTGCTCCTATTACATATTTGGAACAAATGTCCAAATGTTGAAAATCAATACTTGACTAAGGCTAAAGACTAGTATTACCATCACAGGAAGAATGTCCAGGGTTTTTTTTTTTTTTAGATGTGAAATGTTATTTAAAATTTTTAAATTAAATCAAAAAATTTTAGTAGTTGTATTAATTTCCTGGGGCTGTCAAAGTACCATAAATTGTATGGCGTAAAACAACAGAAACTTATTCTTTCATGGTTTTAGAGGCCAGAAGTTTGAAATCAAAGTGTTGGTAGGGCCATGCTCTCTCCAAACCCACTAGGGGAAGACTCTTGTCTTTCAGTGTCTGGTAGCCCCATTTGTTTTTTGGTTTGTGGCAGCATAACTGTAATCTCTACCTCAATCTTTTCATGTATGTCTCCATGTTTTCTTTCTTTCTTTTTTTAGATGGAGTTTCTCTCTTGTTGCCCAGGCTGGAGTGCAATGGCATGATCTTGGCTCACTGCAACCTCTGCCCCCCGGGGTTCAAGCAATTTCCCTGCCTCAGCCTCCTGAGTAGCTGGGATTACATGCGTGCATGAGCACGCCCGGCTAATTTGGTATTTTTGGTAGAGATGGAGTTTCATCATGTTGGTCAGGCTGGCCTCGAACTCCTGACCTCAGGTGATCCACCTGCCTTGGCCTCCCAAAGTGCTGAGATTACAGACGTGAGCCACCGCACCCAGCCATCTCCATGTCTTCTTATAAGGGTATCAGTCATACTGGATTAGGGCCCACCCTAACAACCTCATTTTAACTTGGTTACATCTGCAAAGACCCTATTTCCAAAGAAGGCAAAATTCTAAGGAACTAGGGGTTAGACTTCAACATATCTTTCGGGGGGACACAACTCAACCCATAACATTAGTCAATGGCTGTGGCAGGCTAAATGTGGCTCCCAAATATGTCCATATCCTAATCCCTAGAGCCTGAGTATTACCTTATATAACCAAGGAGATTTTGCAGATGTAATTCTGAGATTGAGAGATTATGCCAGATTATCCAGGTAGGCCCCAAATGTAATCACCACAGTCCGTATAGGAGAGGCAAGATAGTCAAGTGTAGAAGCAGAGAGAGATTTGAAGATTAACAGGCTGCTTGCTTTGAAGACAGAAGGACCATAAACCAGAAATAAACCTCTAGAAGCTGGCAAAGGCATGGAAATAGACCCTCCCCCTTAAGGCTTCTGGAGGGAGTGCAGCCTTGATTTCTACTGAGTAAAATTGATTTTGTACTTCAGACCCCCAAAACTGTAAGAGAATAAATGACTGTTGTTTTAAAACCATTGAGTTTGTAGTAATTTGTTGCAGCAGCCACAGGAAACTAATACAACAGCTATACAGAGTTTTTTTCAATAATTGGAGAAATCTGAATATGGATTGCATATTAATACTGAATCAGCATTAAATTTGTTAGGTATAATAATATTATTGTAGCTATTTAGGAAAATATCCTATTTTTAAGAGACATGCCACCGTATTTACGGAGAAGTGCCAACATATTTGCAGTTTATTTTCAGATGGGTCAGGGGCTGTGTGTACCTGAGAAGACAAAGATAAGGCAAATGCAGCGAAATCATAATAATTGGTGAATCCAGGTGAAGGGACTATGGTTGCTCTTTGTACTTTTTTTTCCAACTTTTCTGTAGGTTTAAAATTTTCAAAATAAAAAAATGGGAAATACTTTAAAAACTGTAATCAAAGACAGTACAGAAACTCATACATTAATGTATTTTATTTTTACAATAAAATTAATTTATGTAAATTGATATTTTACTAATTTCACCCCCAAGTTATATTAAAAGCTTTATTATATACGTTTGATAATAGCATATGTAAACTAGAACTCTGAATGATATCCATTGGTCATAATACATACTGTGTAGTGGTAATGGTGACTTTTGTGATTGCACAAGACCAGAGATGCCCCAAATGACATTGACATAGACATCTCGTTATTCTAAGGCTGAAACTGAAGTTGAATAGAAGGTTTCAGTCAAATACTGAGATGAAAGCTGAGGCAGTCCTGGGGGCAAGGGGGAAGTGTGTGTGTGTGTGTATACACACAGACGACATGATTTCTAAATATTTACAGAAAGGGTAGATTATCTACAAAAGAATAAGAATCAGACTGATATGAGATCTTACAAACCTAATCCCCTTCTTTCCTAAACTCCAGATTCTCATATTTCTGACTTCCTGTGATATTTATACTTCGATACTTACCAGGAGTCTTCAACATTTTGTTCAACAGTATTCTTGGTTTCCTTCCTCCAAGACTACTCCTCCCTCCTATCAGCAAACAGTAGCTCTTTTCAAGTGCTCAGTGTAAAAACCTACAATTAATCCTTGATTTCTCTTTTAGTCAGCCTATACTAAATCAATTTCATTTAAAGTATCTCCACAACTAACCTGCATCTCCACATCTCCATTGCTACCACCAGCCTCTCCAGTCAAATTCTCCAAGAGTACTCTATCTCATTTAAAAGACAAAATCTCTGCAATGGCCTGTGAAGCTCCTTAATGGCCTACATGATCTGGCCTTCAAGCACCTCTCTGATCTCTGCAAAACTTTCCCTTGGTCAGTGTGCTTCAGCCACATTCACCAAGCTTGTTCCTGCCTTGGGGCCTTTGTACTTACCATGTTGTTCTGAGAATACTCTGCCTTAAGATATTCTATAACTATCTTACTGTATACAGCTCTGCTCAAGTATTAACTGATCAAACCTGTCATCCCTATTCCACTCCATGTTCTGCTTTACTTAACAGAATTGCACATATGGCCCCCTGAATAATATAAATTTATTTGTTCACTTATTTTTACTTATCCACTAATTAAAGTGTAGACGTTTTCTATTCTGTTTACTGCTGTATTCCCAGCATGTTTTATCCGAATGTGCAGTGGTTTTTCTTCTCCCTTATTGTGGGAAGTCGTGTGCACAAATACACATAATGGAACCTGAATGTCATATTACTTTCATACCTGTGTGAATTTTGGTAAGAAAGGAAAAGTAGCGATTGACAAGTAATATAATTACATTGAGTCACTCTCATAGTTAGCTGTTTATTGCTTTCCTGCTCTTATTCTCAGTCCCCAGGACCAAATGTTGACCACTCCCTCCCCCACATATAACTGGTTATTTACTCGACGCCATGCAGCTGCCTGTTAAAATGAAGTCACATACCTGCCTTACTAACTCAACCTTTCCCTACTGTCTTTCTGACCCCCACCTCCATGCTTTAAATTAACTTTGCAGGCTTAGGCTTTATCTCTCAGTAGAGCCATGTAAGGTATGTGTAAAAGGAAGAAAATGTTTTCTGGGGATGAAGCTTTGAAAAGCTTGCTTTTTTTTTCTTTTGGCAATAAAATAAGATACATTTAGCACAATACCTAATAACTAAAAAATCTGTTTCTATTTGGGTGGAGTACACAGCAAGTGTGTCATCCTGGAAGATACTATTTGGAATTTTATGTAGGTACATAAAGAGAAAAAAGTGAAAAGGGGCTACTAGGACACTGCAGTATGCTTAATGTGTATTTTCTAGTAAGTTTGTATTATGCCTTTATCTTGGTACTTTTATCTTCTGTTCTCACTTGATCTTTTTGAAATGTATTTTCAATCCTAATAAAAATATATAAAGTCCTGATTTAATAAAGGATTAAATGAAACTTTTTTATATCGCACTGCAATTCTCGGAAAAAAGGGGGGTGTGGGGAGGGGGAATTACCTGGCATAGTGACTGAAAATTGTGAACACGTTCTTACCAAGGAATATGGCAACTGCATAACCAAATGTCAGTGGTTACCAAACTCATGAATCACCTGGTGTTGTGTCATAGATTGCTTGTCTCTCGCCCCCAGTGATTTGGATCAGTGGAAATATGTGGGGTTTAAGGAATATAAAATATATTTATGTATATATTTGTGTGTGTCGCAAAAGCTTCAGGGTATATATATTTGTGTGTGTCTCAAAAGCTTCAGGGTAAAATAAGTTTTAACTGTTTAGGAAACTATTGTTTAAGGTATCCAGTCTCAAAAATGAAGGCCTTAAAACTTAGACCTAATTTTTTCATTACATTTCTTGCGCAGAAAATGGTAAAATACCCAATGATAACAGTGGGGAATTGTCTACATATCAACACTTGACTAAAAAGCTTTACTATCCATGACAGCAGCCTTTCCATTACTCTATTCTGAGAGCATTCAACGTCTTGAAACCCAGGAATAAATACCTATAGATTCACAGTACCTGAAAGGAATACCAAATTGAGACAAAAGGACTATGTAAACGGAAAATTGCTTCAACCATAGAATGGAGGTCTACAGGTGCGGAAGGAAAGTTTACATGGTGAGGCGTAGTCGCAAAACTTTAGAAATATTCTCAGGTTACTACACAATTTAACGAGCTCAATATGCATTTAACATTTTTTCCTTCCACTCTCCTGAGCAGAGTTACACTGACCGCCCCGGTAGCAAACCGACTATGGAAAAGGCAAATTATGTGCACATTACCATGTTATTACCAGGTAGTTCTCGACCAAACTACAGATTCTGGCTTTATCTTATATTCCTCTCCCATCAGCTGCAGAAAAAGGGATAGGTGCTGTAAAAAAATCCCTAACTAGAACTTACAGTAAGAAGTGTGAAAACAGCTTATTTCACTGAAGGGGTTAAGCAGCCCACAAAAGAGACTTTGGAGTCAAGCAGCCGGGACTCGCTTGGAGCCGGTGTACTTGGTGACAGCCTTGCAAGTGCCCTGGGACAAGGCGTGCTTGGGCCAGCTCGCCGGGCAGCAGCAGGCGCAGGGCCGTCTGGCTCTCGCGGGACGTGATGGTGGAGCGCTTGTTGTAGTGCGCCAGGCGGGACGCCTCTCCCGCGATGCGCTCGAAGATGTCGTTGGCGAAGGAGTTCATGATGCCCATGGCCTCGGACGAGATGCCGGTGTCGGGGTGGACCTGCTTCAGCACCTTGTACATGCAGATGGAGTAGCTCTCCTTGCGGCTGCGCTTGCGCCTCTTGCCGTCTTTCTTCTGGGCTTTGGTGACGGCTTTCTTGGCGCCCTTCCTGGGAGCCGGCGCGGACTTTGCAGGTTCAGGCACGGCCAGACCCAAGACCGACTCTCACCCGCCGAGAACGCAGGCAGAACGTTGGTCTCGGGGTCTACCGGAAACGACTGTGCACCTAGAGAGGCCGTGCGCATGACGCTGCGTTGTGGTTCGCGAGTTTTTCGCGGCGCCCAATGCGAGGGAGACGAGATTATGTAAATGAGTGGATTCTGGCTGAGCTATCCTATTGGCTATCGGGACAAAATTTGCTGGAGCCAATCAAAGCGCTCCGTGGACAATCGCCGTTCTGTCTATAAAAGGGTGAAGCGGCGGCGTTTTCGGTGACTTTTCCGGTCGCCAGGCAGGAGTTTCACTCGGTGACTACTATCGCTGTCATGTCTGGTCGTGGCAAGCAAGGAGGCAAGGCCCGCGCCAAGGCCAAGTCGCGCTCGTCCCGCGCCGGCCTCCAGTTCCCGGTAGGGCGAGTGCACCGCTTGCTGCGCAAAGGCAACTACGCGGAGCGGGTGGGGGCCGGCGCGCCAGTCTACATGGCGGCGGTCCTCGAGTACCTGACCGCCGAGATCCTGGAGCTGGCGGGCAACGCGGCTCGGGACAACAAGAAGACGCGCATCATCCCTCGTCACCTCCAGCTGGCCATCCGCAACGACGAGGAACTGAACAAGCTGCTGGGCAAAGTCACCATCGCCCAGGGCGGCGTCCTGCCTAACATCCAGGCCGTGCTGCTCCCTAAGAAGACGGAGAGTCACCACAAGGCAAAGGGCAAGTGAGGCTGACGTCCGGCCCAAGTGGGCCCAGCCCGGCCCGCGTCTCGAAGGGGCACCTGTGAACTCAAAAGGCTCTTTTCAGAGCCACCCACGTTTTCAAATAAAAGAGTTGCTAATGCCGGCTTCTCTCAGTCCAGCGTTTCTCAGTAGTAAACGGCGAACCTGCAGCGGACGGGACGGGACGGGACGGGGGTGTGTGTGTGTGTGTGTGTGTGTGTGTGTGTGTGCGCGCGCGCGCCGTCCTGCATCTGGAGCACGTAACTGCCTTGGCTCATCGATGAGTGGGTCCCCACTCCTAGGACTTCCCAGCGCAGGTGGAGGCACCAAACATCCTGGGTGCCGCCACGGTCCACTCTACACAGTCACAAACACCAGCGCCGCGGGCAGTACCCAAGGCGCTTAAAAGTGTTGCGCCCGGACCGCGCGCTTCCACAGTGGTTTCCGCAGGCCATGGCCGGGCACTTAGACCTAGCCTAGCACTAGCGGGACGTGCTCCTTGCCCCCACCCCCGATGGGGGGGAGGACCCTGAGCGGGTAGTGCTCGCCAGTGTGGCGGAGCTGGGTCTTGGCTTCACGGAGCTGACTTAAGTCTTAGTTTCTGTTTTGTTTCCCAAAGCGCCTTGGCGGCGGAGAGTAAGGGTCTCGGAGGCGGAATCGGGGGGCGGGCACCTCTCCCACCCAAAAGGTACCCGACAGGCGAAAAACGATCCGCCAAGCAGCAACTGGAGGCTGGGGGCAAATGGAAGAATGAGGTTCCACGCCGGAGCCGCTGGGCGCAACAAGAAAGGAAGCGAAGGGCGGACAGGGAACAATCTGACAAAACTGCAACGGAAAACGACTTTCACCCTGAAGGAAAGGGGGAAAAACAAGCTTGCAAAACTTGGCCAACTGGAAAGTAGAAAGTGAGGCGGGTGGGCGGGATTAGGGAGGACTCTGCCCAAGCCAACCGGTGACTTTAGGACGGGTGACGTCACAGCCAATGGGCAGCCAGCGCGGGATTTTCAATTCTTGTTCCGCCCAATCGGGAAAAGACTGTGCTTATAAAGACGGCTGCCGCGGGGCCAGCAGCTCGTTTCTCTCCCCGCCGCTACGCTGGTAAGCTTGTGTTTTGGTTCGCTATGGCCCGTACTAAGCAGACTGCCCGCAAGTCGACCGGCGGCAAGGCCCCGAGGAAGCAGCTGGCCACCAAGGCGGCCCGCAAGAGCGCGCCGGCCACAGGCGGGGTGAAGAAGCCGCACCGCTACCGGCCCGGCACCGTGGC